AGGCAGGGTTAAATCTGATGACTGTGAGAAACATCTTAGTACTGGCAACTAGAAGGGTGTTCCAGGATCACCAGCAGATGCATTCCAGGATCATTAGATTTCAGTGCAGGAAAGGGAGTGGAGTGGAATGAGGCTGAACAACAAGTGGGGAGACTCTAATGCTAAGGGGACCTCTGATGTTAAAGGGGGATTCTAGTGTGAAAGGGGGGCTCTGATATGACGAGGAGAACACCATTTTGTGCATGAAGTCCCCTCTTAAAATCCATATCAGACCCTTATCTCAGATCAGGACCTGGTATGGATTTTGGAGGGGCCACACATTGTTTTTTTTTACATTGACCCCCTTTTCATTTCAGACTGGGGTGTCTTGAAATTTTACATACTTTTAAAGGGTGCTCTGATCGAAGAAACGCTGCCATAAGCCATATAATAGGCAGACCTCAAGCTGGGAGAGGCAGTGAGCCAGTTACAGGAAAAGCGGGGTTCAGGGGAACATGTTGGCTACATGCTGAACACTATACCATAGCTACAGGGAAGAAAGCTTTTTTTTTTTTTGGCAGTTCTAGAAACTCGTGACTGGCCCCGGCCCAACATGAAAAGGTAATTTTGGAAAAGCAATACATTACAAAATAGCTCGTGCAGCATTCATTGGATTATTTGAACAAAGCCAGCATTCCTTTTTCCTTGCTCAGGGACCTGCCGAGTGGCTCAATATCCGAGGGCCTGAGTTACAGGACATTTTAGACTATTCAATGTTCTTGTTCCTTGCTATATATTTCCCGGCTCTCGGCGTGTGTCACCGTGACCGCCGCTTGGCTGGTTTTTACAAGTTTCGCTTTTTATTCTCGAGCGTGCAGCGGATTCATTTTGTGCCGTGGCATTAGAGAAATGGCGTGACTCACGCTGCTCGTCCCACCTCAATCCTAGCCCCATCTGAGGTTCCATCAGGTTGCATCAGACACAAAGTACTTAACCCTTCGAGCGCTGGCCGTAGAGCAGATGGCAGGAGACGCCGGCGATCGCTCTTGTGCTCGTATTCGTGTCCTGAAGCTACACGGCTGGAAAATGAATGTGATCTCATTAAGCCATTCTTTACATTTTTATTAACGCGATCAGGATTGATGTGTGAGTGTTTTTTATTTCATCACGCTCCAATGAATATTGAAAATGAAGCCTTGGAAAGCATACAGGGAGCACAGGCTATCTGCTCATTACGTCAGTCTTCCATCCAAGCGTTGCTGGAGTGCAGTAGGCCACGCCATTCCTTTTATCGCATTCTAAGACCCTGGTTTTATTTTTCCTGTTTGTAGTTCCGGAGATAAAAACCCAACTCCGGGGTTCTGAGCTAACAAATTCCTGTGTTCTCTGACCGTTATCAGTTACATTGTTCCCAGTTATCTCTGTGGACTACAGAACACCTCTCCCCACCTTATAGAGAAGAGGAGAGTGGAAAGTGTTTTGGAGTCCTGTCCTAGATAAACAACGTAGCTCCTTCATAGACGCTGTATGGTAAGTAAGCATACAGGGAGCACAGGCTATCCGCTCAGCACTTCAGTCTTCCATGCAAACGTTGCTATATTGCAGAAGGCCACACCATTCCTTTTATCGGTAATCTGAGAACTTGTTTTTCCTGCTTGGTTGTAGTTCAGGAGATTAAAACTCAACTCCAGGGTTCGGAATTGATGACTCTGTGTGCTCTCTGCCTGTGCTGGCCGTCGGGGTCCTCCCTGTAATGACACAGCCTGAGGCTGTTGCCTCGGGCGGCATCTCTTTGGGTCATGTTGGGCGCGTCTGGCAGATACACATCAGTAGAAAGGCATCATGGCACACTCACAAACTAGCATGTAAAACAACTTGTCTCACCACTAAGGACAATGACAGAGGTTTGGATACACGTCTTCTGCAAAGGATGTGTTTTGCTTGGCAGATACACATCTCCCTGCCCAGCTCTCAGCAACCTGGGACACTGGCCGGCGTACCGCCCAGCTCCTGGCAACCAGTGACGTCAGTGAGCCAGCCATATTCAGAGCCAGAGCTCAATGTGCACATCGCCCCCGCAAGAACGTGCACCACCAGCAACCCATAACACTCCTGCAATGTGCATCAGCAGCCCACCAGGCGGTGAATAAACTATAGATGAATAAATATCTGTTACATTAATCCTAGTTCTCTCTGCACTGCAGAACATCTTCCCCCTTTTTTCTGGAGAAGTCCGTTCCTAGATAAAAAGTGTAGCTCCTTCATAGATACAGTATGGTAAGTAAACCTTTGAAGAGCATACAGGGAGCACAGCTATCCACTCAGCACTTCAATCTTCCATTCAAACATTGCTGGAGCACAGGGGGCCACATCATTTCCTTTACCCGTAATCTGGGGGCCTGTTTTTCCTGCTTGTTTGTAGTCCAGGTCACTTAAACCCAACTCCAGGCCCTTCACTATCTCCCCCATCCACCAGAGGCAGTATTTTATTCTTGTTTCTCTACCATTTTTTTCCGGGTTCACTTAGTCTTCAGGCCAGTCTCATGACATGTAGGGTCCCCTTCACCTCTTCCCTGGCAGTGGGCGATCCACAGAGATGCAGACAGCAGCATTGACTTGATGATATCAGCGCTGCTCTCTGCATCATTATTATAATACAGGATTTATATAGCGCCAACAGTTTGTGCAGCGCTTTACAATATAAGGAAGACATTACAATCATAATACAATTCAAGACAAGATGGTAAGGAGGGCCCTGCCCGTGAGGGCTTACAATCTAAAAGGGAGGGGCAAGTGATACATGAGGAGGTAACTGTGTGGGGATGAATTCTTTGAGAACATGATGGTTGAGTGGTTAGGTTGAGGTGGGATAGGCTTCCCTGAAGAGATAAGTCTTAAGGGATCGCCTAAAGGCAGTCAGAGTGGGAGACAGACGGACATGTTGGGGTAGAGAGTTCCATAGGATGGGAGAGACTCTAGTGAAGTCCCGGAGGCGAGCATGGGAGGAGTTGATGAGGGAGCTGGAAAGCAGAAGGTCTTTTGAAGAGCGGAGGGGACGGTTAAGGTGATACTTTGAGACCACGTTTGAGGTATAGCCAGGGGCAGAGTTGTGGATGGCTTTGTAAGTGGTTGTTAATATTTTGAATTTTATCCTTTGGACTATTGGAAGCCAGAGTAAGTAGTGGTGGCCATTGTTTTTAGCTGTTAGTAAGTCATTAGTGAGTTTTTTGGGATGGCGGTTTCAATGGAGTGTTGGGGGCTAAAGCCGGACTGTAAGGGATCGAGAAGGTTGTTAGTGAGGTGGCGGCTCAGGCGGCTGTAGATGAGGCGTTCTATGAGTTTAGGGGTGAATGGGAGTAAGGAGATTGGTCTGAGATTGTTGAGGTCGGTAGGGTCCATTGATGTTTTTTTGGGTATTGGGGTGACAGGGAGCTGAGATAATGCCAACCTCAGGGTGTGGGTCCATGAGACTCTGCACTCACAGCGCGCCCTCAGGTTTCCGGCATGTCATTATTGGCACTACACAAAGTGCCGAATGTTACCATAATGCGCATTTTATGGCATGTTACCGCAATAACATCAATATGTTTTGTTCCGATTGTACCATTTTTTTCCCATACCATTTTTGGCGAAGGGTTGATAAAGAATCATGTGTGGGGGGCGAGGGGGATCATGCCGAATATACACTTGCTTTCTTGTTGTAAGATTTAATGCCAGCTTTCTTTATTGATCGCCAAGAAGAACACTGGGGCGTCTTCTTATAGGATCGCGTGCAGGAAGCATATTGTAATAATCCTTTTAATATTTGTGAAGGGTCATAGTTTGATGACGGATCCAAATCTGACATTTCTCCGGTCTCTAAAGGTCCGGCTCACTGGCAACATTACCGTAAGTTGGGGTAGAGAGTTCCATAGGATGGGAGAGACTCTAGTGAAGTCCCGGAGGCGAGCATGGGAGGAGTTGATGAGGGAGCTGGAAAGCAGAAGGTCTTTTGAAGAGCGGAGGGGACGGTTAAGGTGATACTTTGAGACCACGTTTGAGGTATAGCCAGGGGCAGAGTTGTGGATGGCTTTGTAAGTGGTTGTTAATATTTTGAATTTTATCCTTTGGACTATTGGAAGCCAGAGTAAGGAGTGGTGGCCATTGTTTTTAGCTGTTAGTAAGTCATTAGTGAGTTTTTTGGGATGGCGGTTTCAATGGAGTGTTGGGGGCTAAAGCCGGACTGTAAGGGATCGAGAAGGTTGTTAGTGAGGTGGCGGCTCAGGCGGCTGTAGATGAGGCGTTCTATGAGTTTAGGGGTGAATGGGAGTAAGGAGATTGGTCTGAGATTGTTGAGGTCGGTAGGGTCCATTGATGTTTTTTTGGGTATTGGGGTGACAGGGAGCTGAGATAATGCCAACCTCAGGGTGTGGGTCCATGAGACTCTGCACTCACAGCGCGCCCTCAGGTTTCCGGCATGTCATTATTGGCACTACACAAAGTGCCGAATGTTACCATAATGCGCATTTTATGGCATGTTACCGCAATAACATCAATATGTTTTGTTCCGATTGTACCATTTTTTTCCCATACCATTTTTGGCGAAGGGTTGATAAAGAATCATGTGTGGGGGGCGAGGGGGATCATGCCGAATATACACTTGCTTTCTTGTTGTAAGATTTAATGCCAGCTTTCTTTATTGATCGCCAAGAAGAACACTGGGGCGTCTTCTTATAGGATCGCGTGCAGGAAGCATATTGTAATAATCCTTTTAATATTTGTGAAGGGTCATAGTTTGATGACGGATCCAAATCTGACATTTCTCCGGTCTCTAAAGGTCCGGCTCACTGGCAACATTACCGTACGCTGCTGATGCTGGAAGCCATGCAAGACGAAGTGGCCAAATCTTATTGTGAGCTGCAGAAACTGGGGCTGGGTAAGTAATGGGCCTTGTTATCAGGCCAGACATTCTGTCCTATCTCGTTGCGCAATCACTCTCCTTGCAAACCTATTACTTTGCTATCCATCTCCTTGAGGACAATAGGCCATCATCTGCTTCATAAATACAGAGTGGTAAGAAGCCAATTTATCTGGAAATGTGAGCTGAAAATTACAGCACGAAATGGATGTGCACTCTACAAAAAAAAAATCGTTTTAGATGTTTGATGGTGATGGTGGAGAGACCACAAAAAGCTGTTTTTTGTTGAAGGTGTCCATTAAAAAAGAACTTGGGGATTTTAAAAAGAAACTTACCCTGGCAATGAGGCTACCGCTGTACTGCAAGGGTTAAGTGCTCATTTTGGTCTAGGAGGCTCAAATAATGAAGATATACTCATCCGATCCTCGATTCCCACCTGGCTGCTAGACCGATCTCCTCAGCCTCTTCTTGCCTGGGTTCCAGCAGTCTAAGGACCTGTGATGTCTTCTAATACAAGTCTATTAGACGTGAAGACGCCAAGGGGCATACCACAGCTGGAGTGGAGGGACAGAGAGGTGACCGGTCACTGCCGTGGGACAGAGGATCAGGTGAGTGCATCTTCTTTATTTTGGAGCATTTAACCCTTGCAGTCCAAGGGTAGCTCCACTGCAAGGGTTACTTTTTAAAAATCCTGGAGTTCTTTAAGTAAAACGTGAGATATTCTCTAAAAAGTTAAATGCAATACATATAGGTTATAGTTCCGCCTGCAGGTAAAACGTTCACTTTTAACAGAACGCAGTGGGTTTTGTACTCTATTCTTTATTTATAATGGTCAGGACTCGCGAAATAATCATTTACTAAATATTTTTTTTTTTTTTTAAGACCGTTAAATATGAAATTTTGAAAAGATGTGAACAGTAGCTCAGAGCTCCAGTAGGTGGAGCTCTAGACTACTTTGTACATGCTGTACGGCTTCTTAACCAGGAGCAGTTACGGCTCGTTCACACCAGCCGCAGTCCGTTCCGGCACCATTGGGACCAGAAAACAATGGATCACATTGCGGCCGGCTCACTTTGTTTCGGGGCAGGAGGGGGCGTGGCGGTGCATTGAAGTCAATGGCACCGCAGCCACGCCCTCCAGCCGCAATGCGATCGCCCGCACTGGAGCGTGTGGCATATCAGTGCCTGTGTTCTGGTTTAGTCAGAAAAAAATGCTGCAAGCACTATTTTTTTCTGACTGCACGGAACCGGAACGCAGGCACTGATATGCCATGCGTTCAGGTGCGGGCGATCGCATTGCGGCTGGAGGGCGTGGCTGCGGTGCCATTGACTGTAATGCACCGCCACACACCCTCCTGCCCCTCAACAAAGTGAGGCGGCCGCAATGCTGCGATCCAGTGCGTTCCGGCCCCAGTCAGGCCGGAACGCACTGTGGCTGGTGTGAACAAGCCCTTAAAGCCCAATTGGACCATCAGTTTAAATCATCTAACTACATTAAAGTTGCATCAAAACAAAAGACGTTCAATGACTTACAGTTCAGCCAGCCTGCTGCAGAGAAGGACCCTTGGTCTCTGTGCAGAAGCAATGGTCTCCCTGCAAAGGTTCAAAATGCCCCCCCTTAGAGTCAGACCTATAGCTCTTCAATCAGTGAGGAGCATGAGCTTTGCGGACTGACTCGTCTGACTTACCAGGGGGAGGATAGGACCTCTACAGTGAGACCACTGCTTCAACACAAAGAGAAAAGTTCCTTCTCTACTGCAGCCTTTCTCAACCAGGGTGCCTTCTGGCTTCCTCAGGGGTGCCTCAACATTTTATGATGGTAGATCTTTGATTGAAGGGGTCTCCTGATTTGAAGGGATGACCCCCACTTTTGCATGGGGTCCCCCCTTACATTTTAAACAGGGGTGCCACAAGATTTTTCAGACTTTTTAAGCTTGCTTCAAATAAAAAAAAAAGGTCTGCTCTACAGCATGCTGGCGAGGGACAGAGTTTTCTAAGCATAACGCACTGTAAGACTTTTGTTTACACTGAGGGGATTTTATAAAAACTGGAGCAGACAAAATCTGGAGCAGATGTGCACGGCAACCAATCAGCTTCTCTTTTACATTTCCAAATCTTAACTGAACAAAGTAAAGAGAAAAGCTGATTGGTTGCCCTGGGCGACTGCTCCTGATTTTGTCGGCTCCAGTTTTGATAAATTCCCCCCATTCTGTTTTGATGCTCCTGGAATTTATCTAGCTGATTTTAAACTGGCTGGCCTTTACAGTGTAACTGCAGCTTTGGGGTGAGGGGTCCCCTTCGCTGTTTTATAGTTATCTGTCCTCGATCATGCGACATATTACTCACTAGAACGCACAGGTGCTTGTCAAATTCTCCCTGGCTAGGCCCGTGGATGCGCTCTACCCTCCCATTCATTCCTATGGACCTCTGAGTCACAGCTTGCACTCCAGACTGACTCTCCATAGGAATGACTGGGAGCACATGTGTAGCCAGGAAGAATTTGTGCAATCTAATGAGCGATATCTCGCTGGATCAGGGCCAGTGGACTGGAAGATTGGGGGCTGTAGTTACAAAGGTGCAGTTACACTTTCAATCACACATTTCAGAAGTTTGGCACCGGTTCTCTCAGAATAAACATCTGCTGTACTACCCAGCAATCTGGCAATGGCTAATCATACTGGCTCATAAAATGGAGATCAATGGCACGTCAGCTGCTGCCCTTCTCAGGAGTCTAAACAAACCACTAATCTAATGACAGGGTGGTAGGTTTACTGTCACCTAACAATCAAATTGATTAACCTTAAAGGAGACGTATGGGGAGAGTATAACACATGCTACCCATGCTTAGAGCTAGCGTGTAACTGCAGCGGTCCCACGCCAACTCCAAGATGGAGAGCTGACCGATCATGTGACTGCTGATCAGCTCTTGGTCTCGGCTCCCAGCAGAGAGTAGTGACTGTCAGTCAATTCCCCCTGTAGGGATTCTCCTTCTCTACTCCATCAATGCTCGCTGGAGCTACAGGCCGAGGGGAGCACAGACAGGGCTGGCTCTGGTCTTACTTAGGCAGTTAGGGGTGAGGGCCGGATTTCTATTTCGGGTGCCTGTAGGCACTAATGGAAATCTGTTCAGCCTGAGCCGGCTCCCTTACCTGCTGTGGGACCAGCCATCTTTTGCATATGCAGAGAAGTGTTGTGTAAGGCTGCCCTAAATGCATTTTACAGGGTAGCTTTACACAGCGCTGTGGTTCTTTCCCCAGCAGCTAGTCTTGAAGCAGGAGGGTGCATTTTGTGCAGAATGTACACTCTTTGCTATTGCCGGTGTTGTATCTTGACACAGCACTGGGATTTAGGCATAGTAAGTGCCTGCACAACGTCCTTCTGTGGAGGGTGCCTGTAGGCACGTGCCTACTCTGCCTAATGATTAATCCGGCCCTGACTGGGTTGGATCCCAGGAATATTCTGTATCCTTCACAGCTGTGGTGCGGCTCAGCTGTCAGCTGATAGTGGGCTTTAGCCTGCCATTTAAAATGTTAGAGCAGGGGTGGGCAACTCCAGCCTTCCAACTGTGCTTTAACTACAAATCCCAATATGCCTTTGCCTCTGGAAGTTATGCCTGTAACTGTCAGTCTTGTAATGCCTCATGGGACCTGTAGTTCCACAACAGGTGGAGGGCCAAAGTTGCCCACCCTTGTGTTAGAGCAGGGGTCAAAATTTCAAGTCCTGAGCTACTAGCCAGGCTTTAAGAGTTACTTACCTCCAGTTGCCCACCTAACCCCTACCCTGCCCTTAACTCCACCCCTGAACACACCCCTGAAAACACTGTTAGATGTTTTATGCAAAATAAAGTTACAAAAATAAATATTAACAACTTTAACAATATTACCATAAAGGTCCCTGCCCCCACATATAAAATAATACACTCTCCGCCCTGTTCCATGCACCCCCACACATAAAATATTACCCTCTCCCCCCTGTTCCCTGCCCCCTCACACATAAAATAAGAAGCCCCC